ATGGTGGAAAAACTGTTGACAGAAAGCTCCTAGCCGCGGTAGGCGAGTCTGGACTCGTCCAAGTCTTCGATCTCAAGGAACAGATTCCCCTGTGTCAACTGCGCGGCCACTCTCACTCAGTCCGACTCGTTCGGTACCCCGGACTGGGTAACCTCTATTTGTTCTCAGGTGTGGCGATGATACCCTCGTCGAGTTCTGGGATTGCCGCAGTCGGGCTCAGCTTCAATGGTTTTTGGCACCAGGATTCTTCTGCACGCCTTGATAACCAACACTACGTCCGATGGGGGGTTGCTTCGCCCAGGAAGAGTGCAGTGCACAACTACGAGTGGGCCATTGCTCTGTTTCTGTTTGTCGACAGAAAGACGACAATGACGGTGCCTGAAAATGGCACTCTCGCGCCACTTGTTCCTCCTGCGATCGCAGAACTTCTTAGCTTCAGAGACGGAATCGTTTCACAAGGATTTCGTCTGATGCGGGGTTGCTTCGCCCAGGAAGAGTGCAGCGAACAGTTACAGGTGCACCGCTGCTCAGTTTCTGTTTGTCGACAGAGAGACGACGACAACGATGCCTGAAAATGGCACTCTCGCGCTGCTTGTACCTCTTATGATCGCAGACCTTCTTCGCTTCAGAGACCAAACCGTTTTACAGGGCTTCGTCCGATGGGGGTTACTTCGCCCAGGAAGAGTGCAGCACACAGTTACAGGTGCGCCACTGCTCTGTTTTCGTTTGCCGACAGAGGAACGACGACAGACCTTCCTCTTCTATTTCTCGAAGCAACCTCGCTCTGATACCATGAAAACTTTGCATAAATTCTTCTTCTTCTTATTCCCTTATTTTGAAAGGTACATCAACTATCAAACTTTTCATCCCTTTTTAATTTCTTTTGCTCTTAGAGATAATTTCTATCTTAATATCGCTTTAATCAACCAAATGGCAAACTGAACAAGAAAATTTGGCAGTGGGAGCGAGAATATTATACAGGGTGGGAGGAACAAGAAATAAGAAACAGAGTTACCTTGATGAGCTGGCCTCTGGTGGCTTCTGGACCAGTCCCAACTAGCCAACTACCCTATCGCAATAGGCAAGGTCCGAAGGAGCAAGTGTAAGTTCGCACTGTGATTCTACTACGAACCCTGCTCATGGTTGCTGAATAAAAGCATCGATTAGTCCCAAGCAGAAGCTGAGTTTGATCACTTGTCTTCTTGACAACCTAGAGTTCTTTCTGTTGCAGTATGGCTGAGACAGAGAGCGAGGGGGTCTGTCATGGTGGTGATGGATTGAGATTGTTACTGGTGTTGGTTCGGTTGTGCCGAGGTCTCTTCTTCTAGGTGTGCCTAGCTTCTTGAGACGGCATGACCAGGGTGCAAATGCTGACGCGCTCATCTCCTCCAACCAAAATTTTCCTTTGAGATAGGTGTCAATATATTGTTAGATATAAAAGGAAAGGCAACAAATCCTGACTGGCCTTGGTTCTGGATTGGAGAATTTGGAGTGGAGATGGAGACCATGGTTTTTAAAAACGAACCGGTTATGGCCCGGTTACTAGTTCGAATGGTTCAACCGTTCAACCTAAAAGGCCGACCCGTTCTGACAAAAAAAAATTGGAAAACGATCAAAACCGTTTGAACGGTTCGAACGGTTAACCGGCTGGTTCAGCAGTTTGCTAACCAAAATCAACGGTTTTGGGGGAAAAGCGGGTTTGGGGGAAAAAGGAACCGATCAGGTGACTGGTTCCCAGTTTTTCCGATCCGGTCCGGTTTTGAAAACCATGATGGAGACTCGTTAATAATGTGAGGCTCATGATGCCACGAATTCAGGCTAGGATGGGAGATGATCTGGAGCAATTCCAACCATCTAAAGAGCATGTCTATCAGAAAAGATTGCCATGTTTGATAAGAAGAAAGAAGATGATGAACAGTGTTTTATTTCTTAAGGATAATTTTAACATTTTCAAAAGTATTTAGATTGACACATTTTGAAAATTGATACTGAATTGTCACATTTTAATATTCAGGGAAGAAGTGACACTATGCCCTAAATACAGGGTACTAATTGGGAATCTTATGCACATTGTTCACATCCAAAACATAGGGACTATATATAAAAAAGCCAACCCCACCCAAACACTTCTTCACTTCTTCGAGTACTCTTTCACTAATGTGCAATTCATCCATCGCTTGCCTATGCAAGGCAAGAACATAACATCCCTCTCTTCTTCATTCTCTGATGACGCCACCCGTAGCACAAATGGCTCTAGACTGCGAGGGGTCACACTAACCTTGAAGTGCTCACACGTGTACATGAAGAGGAATGGGGTACAAGTATAAGAAGTCACTCGGCTATAGTTAGAGCCTAACTGTTGATGTATAGTCTCATTCATCTAATAATAGAGATAAACAAGAAACATAGATGCAATTGGCATTGAATAACCAACGGCCAAAATTTCCACAGAGACCCAAGGTTTTAAAAACTGACCCGGAAAAAGAACCGTTCTAGCTACCAGTTTCCGGGTCAGCAGTTTGACTGTTCGGGTTGAACGGTTCAGACGGTTCATATTAGTAAAGGCCAAATAGTATATGAGTCATGACAAATAGAGAAATGAGGATTGGAGGAGTGGAGAAGAGTATTTTGTCGGCTGAGAAAAAAGAGAAGGAAAGAAAGAAAGGAGAAAGGAGAAAGGAAAAAGGAAAAAGGAAAAAAAAAAAAAGGAAAAGAAGAGAGAAAACGAAGGAAAGAAAGAGAGAAGAAGGAAGAGGAGGAGAATGATTTGACGCTCACCAGCGACGACGAGATGGCGACGGCAATAACACAGCACAGATGGCAGATCTCATACGAGTTCTTAGATCTCAGATCTGATATTGATTTTTCATTTTTTCTCAGATCTAGATCTTCTTCTTCTTCTTCTTCTTCTTCTTCTTCTTCTTCTTCTTCTTCTTCCTGGATATCAGATCTGAGTTCGTGCCTCATATCAGCAATTCCTCAAACCGCAAATGGTTTTCTGACCAAGTCAACAGTTTTTTATCCAAGAGCAGGTAAGAGGCGAAATGGAATCGGTTGCTTGAATGGTTTCCGGACCAAATGGTCCGATCGTCTGGATCAACAGCGGTTCAAAAACATTGCCAAGATCAAACATTCCCTGAAGCTGAAGTCAAGACTCCCTAGGAAGAGAAATCACAATAACAAGTACAAAATATAGGCCACAAGATGTCCCCAGGTGCCTTCCCCCTTGAACGAAAAACCGCCTTTGTGGTAAATTACTACGACGGGACGCTCCGCTCGTTCATGCCTGCTCTACGAGTGTGCATTTCACTCGCTTCGCGCTTTGCTGCACTTTTTCCAGCCCCTGTGAATACAAGAATTCGGGGGACAGAATCCCCTGAAATAGCTCGCTTTGCGAGCCTGGACAAGTATTTCTTCCCCAGGCTAAATATAGGGGAAGAAGCACTGGCCCGAGCTATTTGTTGTATATAATACAACAAATAATGCATGTTTAATAAAGACAAAATGGACTTGTCCCCAACAAGTCCATTCCATCTTAATAGAGTTCACATCTGCATCCCACAAGGGGGTGTCCCACAGCACATCCCCACCGTGTATTAGAAATATCTCCTGATGATGACATCATCAGTTCTGATACAGTGGTACTATCATCAGGAGATATTCCCAATACACGACGAAAATGCGCTACGAGACGTTACGGGGCGCAGATCCGAACTCATCTTAATAGGGTAATACGCCGCAGCGTAGCTGTGGCTATTTCTCCCTTGAAACCCCTGAAAGTTACAATATTAGACTGACTGCCTTTGGAGCTTGAGTGCTCAAGCGACAAAGCAGGCAAGATGTCATGTGATATTAATACAGCTTGTGGTAGAACCCCTTAGGGGGTAGAACAACCCCTCCCTTCGTACCCACAAGCTTAATAATACCTTGTGGTAGAGCAACCCCTCGTACCCACAAGTATATTATACGTGCCATGCATGCTCCAGTGCGTCACGCACCCCTGGCCTACAGCCGCACGAGGGGTCACCCATTCTCTCCTTGCGTGCGCAGGCGCGTAATGTGCATAAGAGCACACGTTCCCATGCCTGCATCAGGCTTGAAAAACTCACGTTTTTTTCAATTCTGATGGGAGATCCACTCATCCACCTCATCACCTATGCAGTTATACCAAAACAACCATTTGTTCAAGGGATAAGTGGACTGCAATCCACCTCAGAAATCTGCAATTACAGCCCCTCCTAGTCTACTAGTAGCCCCCCGCCCCCCAATAATCCACATCCTGTCCATGAATTTGGCATCAATCCACGGGCAGGATTCATCTGACCTGTACGGTGGAAGTCAGATTTCTGAGGTGAACTGAACTATAAAAACCCCGTTCAATGACATTTTTCCACGATGCCCCGACCATTGCGAAATTCTCCTTGTAACTCTCTCAAGTTATCCTTTAATGACCCATATACTTGGATACAATCCCCGCCCCTCTGCAGCTATGGAGTCAATCGATATAGGGGATTCAGTTGGCAATACAAATATTCAAAGTACTTGTATGGAATGTTTCTATCAATAAGATACCGTGATATGGAGGAGTCTAAAGGTGGTATAGGAACATTTATGGTATCAGTAATTTTTCAATTTCTAATCAGTTTATTTTGGCTGCAAGTGGAATCTTGGGAAAGGCGGTCTCTTTGGACTTTGGAGACAGCTTCAAACCATCTCTTTAAGGCATGCTTTTGGCAGTGGATAGGGGATGGACAAAAATAGTTATTGTATAGGCATGTTAATTGTATTAGGGATCTATCAAGATCTTTTCATGTAGAATTTATTTTATATATAAGCCAAGTACTCTCACTAGACCAGCACATACTTTAGCACAGTTGGCTAGCTCAGTCTTCAGTAATGCTCATCTTTGATAAACAAAAAATAAAAAAAATAAAAAAATAAAAAAACTAAATACAATCGAAAAAGAATTGTACAAACGAGAGACTCGTATACCGACGAGATAGAATAAAGGTTTTTGATCCTTCTTTCAGCGCTTGAAAGCAATTAACTAGATCACTCTGAATTTCTGAATCCGAAAAAATTGTTACATCAAATTACAATAGGAAATCTTAGCTGCCAATAAGCCAAAATACCCAGTGTAAAAAATGAATGATAATTCCATATGCATGAAAACATTTGATGAATTCAGATTAACTGAACGCATTAGCTGTGTAACAACCACATGATAACACCCCACGTCAGTGAAATTATACGGGTCCACAATATGGTTGTAGGCCCCGCGTGTTATTATTGGTTGCACAGCCTTCTTGGCAGCTATTGCATTCAGCTAAACCTATCTCACATTTAATTGCCTCTAGAATTTTTCTTTTTTTTGATAATTTCTAAATTGTATGTATACAATGACGATGAAAAAGAAAATAAATGGATACAGCAATGACGGGAACGGGGCAGCATGCAAGCAAATATGAGATACATACCTTAATACAACTGACGTACCACCAATTCAAACCAAATATTTACTTGCGTAAAACATACCCATGCCATTGAATGATGAAACTCGAAATAGACCAGACAAGAGCATGCAGATAGCCATCTCAGAGATAAAGTGAATTCGCAAACATGATACCACGCCGAAGACTCTCACTGGAAGCAGCAAACTTCTTCTCCAAATCAACTTCTCCAACGGCTTGTGCAGCAGCACGCAACTGAAAGACAACGAACAATTACTATATGGCATAAATCCATTGCCAAGGAAAATTTTGACATGTGAAGACTATTAAATAATTGACTAATTGGTGGCCCATGGATTCTAAGTAAATTAAGCTATTCAGCCAAAAGTGAAAGCTCAATCTGTATAATTAAATAAGATGCAAATGAGCAGTGCTAAGCCTTTACAAGATCCGAACAAAATGTCTAAAATGTAAATACCTAAATAGTTGTTTTTGTTAGGTGGAAAGGAAGAACAGGCTACACAAGACGGGGAGATACAGATGGTATTTGTTCCAATACATGGGAAGATACAGATATGGTCTTGTCCTCTGATTTAAGGCTTCCTTGACACTTCGGTATATGCATAATTCAGCTTCCAAAGATCAAAATTCCACATATGGCACAAATATTATTAAAGGAGTCCCACAAAAATGAACTTACCAAGCTTTCGCTTTTTAATCCTACCTGATTTAGAAATTCATCAAGTCGTCGGGCAAGGCGTATGATACTCCCTTCAAAGATATCAGTCATATCTATGATCTCCGCAAAAGTTGCTCCCTGCAATGGGACGAGAGGGGGAAGGTGGATAAATAATGATTTAAAAGATCGCACCTTACAAGCAAGGCATTTTAATGTATGTGTCTCATTTATCCCCAGGTGCAGCACTTTCAAAAGGTGTGCACTTGCTGCCTGGGCTGATATTTATGCATTTTTTCTGTTCTTTTATGTCTAGCAGCTGGGTTGGGGACTCTGCCCTTACCCCCAACCAAGCCCCTTGAGGCAAAACCCAAAAAAGTCTGAAAACCCCATATTTGCCAATGTTGCTCATTCATTCATCCTAATAAAAGATAATTTTAAAAGACAATTGAGCTTATAAAAATTTTAAGAGATTCTGAGTTTTACATGCTTGAATATGTTTTATATGTTATGCTTGATTTTATTTTTAAATTTTCATTTTAAATATGTTTTACATGTCATGTTTATATATTTTAATATTAGATAATTAAACTATTTATATTAAAATTTAAGTTTATACTTTAATTAAAATTATGCTTAATATATTTTAATTTTTTTGAATTTTTTGCCTTTCTTTGCATTTTTGTGCCTTGATTCGAAATGGTACATATGCCTTGCCTTGCACCTCACACCTCAGGCACATAATTCCCCTTACACTTTTTATTTTGATCAATTACACTTTTTTTGTTCCTTGCATTTTTAAAACAATGAGTACATCTCCAAGTAAGCACATAAACTAACTTGCAACACAGACAATTTAAAAAAAAAAAAAAAAACACAAATTGCTACAATTTAACATTATTTTATCCTTCGCAAGAAGATACTATTTTACATTTGAATTTTAATTGATGGTTCAAAGAATATACTGCTAACCTTTTTTTATAAATGAGTGGTATGTTATTAAGCATAGAATGGAAAAATGTACAATCAGCCTAAAAGGAGGCATGAGATGTTACGTCCCCTTTGAGCTAAGCAATTAAGCACATTCTATCCTGAATTTTAATTATAAGGTAGCCCAAAGAATACTGCTAACCTTTGACCAACAGTATATCACATCCATCAAGTACGGTCTTACTGTTGATTCCACATACTCGTCAACATTTACCTCCAATTTGCATTCTCGTTGGATCTGCAAACACAAGGGAACTTTAACACATTCAAGAACAGATTGGAAAAAAGAACCATGTGAAATGATAACATACCTCTGCAATTCTTCTTGCACTTTCTTGGAGTTGTTGCAATGGCTTCGCAAGTTCAGTTCTCAAATGTATTTGTTCATTTGATCTATCGCCTGGAATAAAGCAGCTTGCAAGAGCTGCTACTTGGTGATGATCAAGATCATTGAATGTACCTAATCAACAACTCATTCAGAACTTGAACAAGTAAATAACTCCATTGGAGAAAATGGAAAAAAATATGCTACATAGCATACAGGATGACAGAAAATGGATCAGAAACTCACCATTGAACATTAATTCAGTAACAAGGAGTTCATCTCCTGTATCTATCAAGCAAGCAGCTCGTCCCTTTAATTGGACAACACCATCAGCATCAATATGCCCAAGCTTCTTCAGAACCCGTGCACGATTTTTGAGTTCATCCCGGAATTTTTGAAGCTGCAAAATTGATGTATACAAATTAGATCTCAAGAAAGCAAATGAATTGCAATTAAGTAATTAAATCCACTTAAAACATTGCTTATATTTATCTCATTATTATATTCAGGAACTCTCAAAGACCACCTAGGATCAACATTGGGCAATGGCCCATTTTAAAAAACTCAGTTTAAGGAAAGCAGGATAAGAAACTGCTTCCTGCCCACATGCAGATAAGTCCATAACCAGGGAGCACTATTAGACCATTTTCTTAACCCTACAAGACCTCCTTTGGCTGGTGGGTCCAAAGCTATTAGATGCATGCTGCAAGTTCAAAGGTTTTAACCTTCCATACATCAGAAAATGTATTCCCCTCTACATTTTATATAATGCCAAATTATCTAACTACTAGGGTATTTTGAAATTTTGCCCAGCTGGAAACCTTGTATTTAGGTACCTGGCTGGATAATGACAACTTGATGGCATATCTATTTCAGATTTTTGTAGTAGTGCCATACGCTTCATCTCATGACAAAGACCAACATGCCATGTTGAGAAAAAGATATGAAGACTAGCCAAAAAGAAGACAAAATAAAATTAAAAAAAAAAAAAACCTGGGAGTCACGCATCTTCGCTTTAAGCTGTTGAATTTCATGATTCACCTCTGCTTTTCTTTGGAAGGACTTGATTTGTTGCTCGTCTTGGCACTGCAGAATATAGAATAGACCAAATAGGATGACTATGATATTTTAGCAAAACTACTAATTCAAGAAACTGAAGTTATGGTAGCATTAAATGTTCCGTTTTTTTTTTTTGACTTTCTTTTAATGGACATGGAAATTGATAAATACACCTGATGATACGAACCTTATGTAGTGGGTGAGAAAATAATTTCCTCTCAAGTTCCTCAATTTGACTAACTAAATCAACAAATTCTGGTTCCTCAATCCCCATATCCTGCCAAAACAGTAGAGAAGTTGAGACGCACGGGTAAAGAACCAAAAGTTGCATGCAAGCACAATGAGAAGAAAAGTTCTTTAACTGAGAAAAATGACAAATAAAAAGAGAAGTTCCTAAACCAGGAAAAAGAGCAAGCCTCAGGGAAACCAACACTAATGTTAATCTACCTTCACAGGATTGAGTTTTGGGAGACCATTAGGAAAACGTGTCCCCAGCTCCTGTACTGCAAGCAATATACTCTGCCTTGCTTCCAATGGTCGAAGATCAGAAGGAATAGATAATCTGATTTTGCTGAGAGCAGAAATGAGAGGCAACTGAACTGGGACCTATGAAAATGAAAACAGTAGATAACATTGTTACGTTCCCATAAAATCCAACTTCTTAAATCTCAAGGCATCCTGAGCAACCTAGCCAATAAGAACAATGAACAATGAACTGACCCTTGATAAAATTATTGCTCCACATGAGCTTCAACTCACCACATGCATTTCCCCCTTTTCTCCAGGACGAGGAGGGCATGGCTTGGGTCGAGAACCATTATCACTTGAACCAGGAGAGCAATGAAGCAAAGTATCCACTATGTAGCCACCGCCTCGTGAAGCTGTCAATGCTGAAGGCAGTTTGTTCAAAGCTGCAGAGGGTTTCTTCAACACATTGACCACCACTCCCCAACCCCAATCAGTTCCACCTTCATGTACTTTGACCTGTAAAATTCAAAGCATTTCTGCAGTGCTTAGAAATTACAAAAGAAAGAGATTAAACTTAAATGAACTCAATAAGATTATTTCTATTTTTTACAAACTTCTCAAAAATTAGATATAGGTATGCCAAAAGACTAAATATATATAGAAAAGTGTTATTTTAAGTCATATCTATCATATATGTACCTAAAACAATTGAATTTACCACTTATACAATAGAAGTCTAAGATGATATAATTGAGTTTGACTTGAAAATCAAATAATCCACACATACAAATGGCTCTTTATCCAACACATGATAGAAAATAAACTCAATATATAATCTTAAATAACATAAATAAATCAGTTTCTAGTAAGGTCTTTAAAACAAGTCACCCTTGACAAAACTAAATATAAACAAAACAAAATGACAAAGTAGAGAACTAATTTTTAATTGAATTGATTTTAATCATAATGAATCGCATGAATTGTATAAATCGCATAAATAAAATCGCATGATTTATGAATCAAATTGTAAGATTTTTGCAGAAAAGGATTAAAAAATAAGACTTGAATTGAAACCCTGGGGATTCATGATTTATATTGTTAGTGTCAAGTATGTAGGGGTATTTCTGTCTTTATACTTATGTTGAGGTTGCTGATGTGTAATATTATGTTAGAACTAGTGCCCCTCACTTAAGTAGGGGCACATGTGTATTTTTCATTATGTTGGTAATATAAAACATATCTGGCCAAATGGGAGAGGTAATTTTTCTCTCATTCGAACCAGACTTTTCTTCTTTTCTTCTCCTTTCTCTCTCTTTCTTCCTTCTTTCTTCTCCTCTCTTCTTGGCTGTTACCAGACTAACAGAACTCAATGGTAGGCCGAAGTATAATACATATCATGAATCGTATCGTAAATCGTAAGATTTTAACAACATTGGTACCGTCCAACCAACCTCGTATGAGTCTTCCTCATCTTGTGCCTCCTGTTACTTCAGCTTGTTTTGAAACTAATGATAAATTTTGGGAGGTGAACTCAATAATTTGAATAGATTACCAGATGCCATAGTGCTTGGAGAAAAAGGATGATGAAGAGTCAGAGGCAAGAAGGGGGAGCTGATAGGGTGGTTAGGGAATTGGGGGAGGGTATTTGGAGGCTGATGGTAGAATATTTAGAGGGGGAAAGAGTGGAGAGGAGTCTTCGAAATTAATAGGGGTGGTTACAAAGGAAAAGGAGGAGATTACAAAGGCTTTGGGAATTCAACTTATTGAACAAGAGGTGGAGAAGGTGGGTAAATCTAGAAAAAGGAGATCGGAAGTAGAGATACTTCTGGTATTAGGGTCAAGGTTTGAAATGCCGATGTCGGTGGAAATGTCAGTCATCCAAATATAAGAAACATGTCGGAAATGTCGGAAATATCGTACGGAAATATTGTAAAAATTATAGATATGGTGGAAACATTGTAAAATGTGCAAAATATAGAATGTTATTTTATGAAATGATAAAAGAAGCGTAGCACACCTTTTTAAATCATTATCTTATTCTAAATCATTAAACAAATCTAAGAAACTAAGGTTATAGATAAAAGAATATATTCTAAAGTTGTCCTATAAACCTTAAGATCCAGAGCTTCATGATAGAATGAGTTAAAGCAAAATTTGAACTCATAGAAAATTTAAATGGTTGTAATAAATTAATATTGAGTTAACACAAACAAAAACTAATATTTAACTTTATATTTGAAATGAATATTGAGTTAGCTCAAAGTGGTAATCATATAAGTTAGGTGGACAATAACTTGCTATTTCACATACCTACAATATTGTTACCAAATTATGTTATAATACTATCTCCTGTACCCCACATAGTATTGGTAGTGTTCAATGGGGAACATGTCAAGTCCAGTAAAATTTCATGTTGTTACCCATGGAAGTGGAAATGGAAGTATGTCGTGGAGACTATCTCTTGCACTCCACATAGTGTTGGTAGTTTTCATTGGGGAAATGTCGATTCCAGTAAAATTTTGTGCCACTACCCATGGAAATGGATATATGTCACGGAAATATTAGGGAAATTAGGGACATTTCAAACCATGATTAAGGTAGAAAAAACTTTTACTCGGAGAAGAGAGAAGGCGAGTTTACAAAAAGGTGGATAACAAGGGCTGAGTTCGAATCAACGAAGATGGTGAGCTGGAGTGTTAGAAGACTAGGGAGTGCAGGGAAAAGAAGAATGGTGAAGGATCTCTTTAGGAGAATCAAACCTTCCATGATACTTTTGCAAGAGACAAAAACAGAACAAGTTAATAGTGTGTGAATGAGAAGTATTTGGGGCACTAGTAACAAGCAATGGGTCTATTTACCTTTAGTAGGATCCTCAGGTGGAACCTTAGTGGCTTGGTAGGATTCATAGATGGAATACGTGGAGCAATTGGTGGGGATTTATACTGTCACGGTGAAATTTAAAGAGATGATGGATTTGAGTGAATGGCCAATGTGTTTCGCCCAACTTCTTACAAAATAGGGAAAATCTTTGGGTGGAATTGTACAGTGCTAGTAGGGTTTGTGGAGGGGCCTGGTGCATGGCAAGAGATTTTAATGTCACCCACTTTTGTTCAAAAAAGTGGAGAAAAGTGAGGATGTGACTTGGTTATTGAAGAGGATTCGGATATAGTTGTGGAGTGGTTGGAAAAAGGCGAGGATGTAATGTAACTTGGCAAGTTAGGAAAGAATTCAAGCACTTAAGTGGCTGTCAACAGACATGAACCTGCAAGTACATTGGGTTAGAAGATCTGCTAACAGTTTGGCTGCTAGTTTAGCTACGCAAGGGGTTCAAAAACAGCGTATGTAATGGGCACATTTATCATAAGGGTTGGGTGGCTTGCCTTGTATCAGGCTTGCTAGTTGCTCACAACTTCTTGTTGTATCTATATCTTTTAATCATTAATGAAATTCTTTTTCTGTGGTTGCCGATCAAAAATAAACATTATATAAGAGAATGAAAAAATAATAGAATAGAAAAACGTTACATCCTACACAGGCCATTGCTTGCTTTAATAGTAAAATTTCAGGTCCACAAACATAAGAATGCAAGTTCAAGTCTGCGAGACTTTGTGCAAGAAAATGCTTGATGTTACCCAGCACACCTTTCCAAAGACTCTGGATAGCTGGGTCCATCATTGGCTAATGGCCCTTGATAATTATATCTTATTTGGCTATTTATTTGTTAAAAAAGAAAAAAAAAAGTATGAATGTAAGACTGAAGCCACACCTTTGGTGTTTTAGATAATTATAACATTGATACTAAATGAAGAAAGAAAGTTGTGTTTAATATAATTCCAGTAAAACGAAAATGAACAACACATACCAGCCTACCAGGAAGAAGAAAATAAAGAATTCTTTCAGGTCTGGTTATTTCAGACATCATCTTCATCTCAAGTTGAGCTATCTCAAGCCTTATCTTATGATACTCAACAACTTCAGCCTGTCAATTTGGGAAAAAAAATGATAATTAAATCAAATATGCAACTTAAACACCACAGATGCATCCAACAATGATACAAGGACAAAAAAACACCTCCCCTGAGGCATCAAGCATAGCAGCTTCCTCTTCCAGCTTTGAAACCCTTTGCCCAACATCAGGTAAAGCCTGAACAGTGAATAAAAAAATAATAAGTAAATCATAATTAAGCATTACCAGAGACATGTAAATAAAGATTTACGGTTATAAATGAACAAGGAATTCAAACCTTCTCATACTGAAATTGGTGAAAAGAATTCTTGATAACATGCTCAGCAGTAAATTGGCCTTCAGCACGGCTCATTAAATTCAAGATTGAATAATAACTTAGTCTGAAAGTGCTGACCAATGGAGCTGGTTTCCCCAAAACCATATCCTTGAGAGTATTCATTTCCATCTGAATAAAAAATAAAGCAGGTCAACTGGATGAGTAAACCATGCCACTATTCTTAGTAAAAAGTCAAAATTACTATTATGGTAACTTTTTATTGAAATAGCGAAGTATTGTATTATAATAAAACTGCCAACATATACACTACCCATGTACATTGAGAGACTGTACATAAGGCTAAGAAAAGAGACCTCCAAAAATAATACTGCAGTTTGACTCCCTGCAACTCCCACTATATAATTAGCCATGAATACAAGACCTTTAGTATTATTTTTAGTAACTGCTACACCATCACACTTGTTATCGACAATTCTTTGGCGTCTTTCCTTCCATAGAGTTCAATAGCAGTAGGAAATATGTTCCATAGAGCTTCACCCCTGCAGCTTAAGCCCTGTATCCAACCATTAGTGTTCAAGCAAAGACTCAGGGCATGCATCCTTTAAGACCAAAACAAGACAGAGCCAGCACCTATAGCAGATATGTAAAATTGCAATGGATAAAGAGATGGTTGTATGATTCTGCATTATCTCCAACATGCAGTACCTGTCAATAACCCAATTCATTCCCATTCTGATCAGCAGGTTGGTAGTTAGGCATTTTCCAAGGGTAGCTGTCCGTACTAGAAAATCTACCTTAGAAGGTATATGAGAGCACCAGATTGTTGCCCAAGGAAATGAGGAATCTTGCTGCTGAAATAATCTGTTATGGAATGAATGGACAGAGAAAGATTTTCCCGAGGTCCAATTTCTTTTATCACTTGCTGAAACATTTGGAGCAATGTTTTAAAACGCAAAAGCGTGATGCAAGGCGTTCAACTACTTGGAGGCATGAGGCCAGTGTTTTAAAAGCACAAGATGCAAAAAAAAAAAGTGCTAGGGGCATTTTACACCCGAGGCACAAGGTGCATGCCTTTAGAAGCAAGGCATAAAGATTTAAAAAAAAAAAAAAAAAGCTAAAAATTTCAAAAAAAAAGTGCCAAAAAAAATCAAATAAAAGCCAACCTTTTCAAAAAGTCCAAAAAAATAAAAAAATTAAAAATGTATATACTAAACATAATATTAATTAAAAATATAAACTTAATTTTTAAAATAAATGTTTTAAAAAACCTATTAACTCAAATTAAGATACATAAACATAAAATATAAAACATATTTAAAATGAAATTTTAAAAATAAAATCAAGCAAAACATATAAAGCATATCCAATCATATAAAACTCTCAATCTCTTTATTCTTTTCCCAATTGCATTATTTCAAATAGTTAATGTGATGTTAAACATTATGGATTCCTAATTCTACGAACCACCACCTCTGTATCGAGCCCCTTGATGCAAGCCCAAACAAGTCCACATCAAGGTCTTCAATTCTTAATCCCTATAAAAAATTTTATAACTTCAATTGTCTCTTAAAAATATCTTTTATTAAGAAGAATGAATGAGCAACATTAGCAAATATGGGGTTTTTGGAGGTTTGGTGAGCAAGCAAAGCGAACAACATTTTTAAAAGACAACTGAAGTTCTAAAATCTTCTTTATAGGGATTAAGAATTTAAGACCCTAATATTCACTTGTTTGGGCTTGCCTCAACGAGTTTGGTCGGGTCGGGTGTCTAGAGTTAGACGGTGTATGCCCTTAGCTCCAATCAGAATGATGTACATTATGGCATTTAATGTAAATGAATAAAGTACACATTTGATTCATATTATTATGGTGTGTTTCTGCGTAATACCCTTAAACTGGACACTTATGAGACTCGTGTTAGTTTAGAATCTTCACAATCATTGGATAGATCTGGGAAGATTTATCCTGCCAACGCTGACACTGATGTGCCGCCAAGTTGGTTCGGGTGGCTTGTCTCAGTTGCTAGGGTGAGACCTGAGGTATATGCAATGTGGGTTTTCTTGGAACCCTGAACCGGACCAGAATTCTAGTATTGCGCTGGACCTTGGAGATTGATGGGCAAAACTAGAATGTTACACCTAACCCCTAGACTCGATTATGATACTGCACTAGGTGTCAGATTGGGCTATCTTTGATATGCCAATCAGTGAGATCAGAAGCGAGCTACGTCTGAGCTAAGCTTGGAGATGGAAGTCTTCTTTTGTTTCTCGATGGTGAAATAAGACCAAGCCCATGAGCTTATTATCCTAGGTTGGGGTCAAAACCTGGGTATGTTGGGACAGTCCGAGAATTCAACTAAGTGAGTGATCATAGTGACAAGATCAACCCCTTTGTCAGACAAAGGTAATGATCGGGGATGCACTCTCTCTGATGGAAACCAAAGCCGTCGACAACCGATTTCAATCTTTGAAATTTGTTTTTGTAAAATATATTTATATAAAGATATACATATATATTACGGTTTCAAAATGTTTGCAAAAGGTTTTAATTCTCGGAATCCATGTGAGTAGAGAGTGCAGCATTGTTCCTTACAGCCGAGGGAGAGGTCATCTCTTGTCGGACAGTGTTTGATCATTATGGGCTGAGAGGTTAAGTGTAAGACCATTGAGAGTAATACCTAATGGGCTAATCTTGCATTTGCCCATAGTCACTAGGTTTTTATAAGGTGGCTTGGCCCAATGACCACTTAGTGTAAGTGTTGGGCCCATTAAGAGCCCATGGTGATGGGCTCAGGGGTTCACTGTCCATAACAGTGAATTCGGCCAGGCCTTGTAACAGAGGCTAGGCTGAACGGGCCTAAAGCCCAATTCGAACTGGTCTAATTTGATTAGTTAAAGAAGGGGGTAGATCTGGGATTTGGATCAGCAGCTAGGATAGGGAGTTATCCCTATCCACTTAGAGAGTCCAGATCCAAATGCAGATTTGGATTTGGAAACTCCTAATAAGATTAAGAGGGCTGATCTAATCTACAGATAAGGGCTTATCCTTATCTCTTAAAGAGAACTCCTWATCCAAATACAWATTTGGATTAGGAAACTCCTAATGAGATTAGGAGCTCTCTTTAAGGCTATAAAAGGAGGAGGGCGAACCTCCATTCATCCCAAGAGAACTGATCTTAGATCACAAAAAGAGAGAAGACAGCTACAGTAAGATTGTGCCATCTTCTGCTCTTGTGCCCTCCTCTTGTTGTCGCCATTGCCAGTTCGATCTCCACCGTAGGATCGATCAAGAAGTGTTCTTGATATCAGTCTTTGGAGAAAGGTTGATCTGAAGTCGTGCTCACACTCCATCCATTGAATTCTTGCTGAAGGATTCGGTTCTTGTGAAGAACCTACTGATTCTGCTCCACCCTACGCTGTGTCATCTTCAGTGGGAGTAGTCTTTGGAGTTTTCCTTGGGTGTGAACACCTTCGTTGGGAGTTACTGCTACTCCATATCAGGTATATTCCTCTCCTACCTTTTGGTTTCAAATCTGGTTTGGTTCTTGGTTCAAGATTGATCCTTGAAAATGTAGATTTTCTAAAACAGAGAATGTGATTCCCAGATGGGAGAGAGAAATTTTTTGAAATTTCGCCCTACCTACCTGTAGGGTTCGGCTATCCATATGATGGATCTCTCATCCCTTCAGTCTAGGGGCAAAGCCCTTAGCCCAATTGCTAGCCATAAAAAATAAAAAACAGAAAAAAATAAAAAAGGCACAAATTTTCAAGCATGCATACACCTGAGCTGAAGCGCAAGGTGCACTGGGCAGGTGCCTTTTGAAAGTGTTGTGCCTTGGGGCTAGGTGAGGCGCATACCTTAAAATGTGCCTCGTCTGTGCAGCTTGGCACACCTTGTAAATCACTGCATGGTGTGTAGTTCACAATGTGAGAAGTGTAGACCTCCCAAACACAAGGACACATAAGCTTCCTTAGGAAGAGGAAGAGGAGGAGGGGGAGGAGGAAGAAGAGGAAGGGGTGCATTCACTCTCCCTAAGGCCTCCTCTGAAACCAAGATTCCAATTGAGACCTAAACGAGGGAATGTTCCCAATCAGGAAACAGTTTGACCTATGAAGTTGGAGAGGACAAAATGTTCATGAAATTGATCTTTTAAAGGTGTTTCCCCTAACCAAAGGTCTTCCTATAACCATATGTTATCACCCCTACCCACATCATAACGGATAGAGCTAAGGAACATAGGGTATACCTCATTAATTGCTTTCCAAGGAGAAACTAAAGTTAAGTGAGGATTAAGTTTTGCATCCCAACCATTTCCCTCCAGATCATTAATGCTTGTTATTACTTTGTGACACAACCTATCTCTTTTAAATAGAAATCTCCACAGCCATTTACCCAAAAAATCAGTGTTTTAGGGACAATGTTTCCTAATCCTATCCCCCCTTTTCCTTTGGTTTGCACATTTGTCCCCACTTAACCAAATGATCCTTTCTTTCCTCTCCTGGTTCCTACAAGAAATCCCTCATATATTTCTCTAATTGTCTTGCTATCTGTTTTTTGGGTTGAACATATCAGAAAACAGAAAATAAAGGGAGAAGAAAGGAAGAGAGAGAAAAGAAGAGAGACGAAGAGAATTCTAGGATCCATAAAGTTAAGCCACCAGTCATTAGTATTTATATTAGGGCATCCCAACTAATAATAAAAGAAAGTAAGATTACAAGAATGCCCCTATGGCACTAAAGAACAAAAAAATAACAAAGAATTAATTAATTAATTAAGGAAACTAACTAACAGATTTCAACACTCCCCCTCAAGTTGGGACATAGATGTCAATCATGCCCAACTTGTCACAAATCATTGTGTCGTAGATGATGTAATCCTTTGGTGAAGATGTCTGCAAGTTGATTTGTGGACCTGACATATGAAGTGCACACTTCCCCATTTACAATTTTTTCCCGGATAAAATGCTTGTCGACTTCAACATGTTTAGCTCTATCATGAAGAACTGGGTTGGCTACAATGTTAATAACAACCTTGTTATCACAATACAAGGACATGTGGTTGTCAACAAGAAATCCTAATTCACCCATCAAGTTCTTTATCCACATTACTCCAGCCACTTCGTGGGACATTGCTCTATACTCAACTTCAGCACTGGACCTCGCCACAAC